TACGTCACTTTGAAGCGCTGGGAGTCTTCACGTCTGAGTACTATCCAAAGCCTTGTCCATATTGTACACTTTTATAAATTGTAACAAGTGCCGTTGGAAGTGGTTACCTAAAGCGGTTTTCTCAATTGAACATCACAGACATGTGTATGTAACATAACTACCCAGCTCCCTAAGGAATCCATCAAATATTTCATTCAAAAATCAAAACAAATTTTGATTCTTTATGTCTGTTTCCGGTATCCGGTTGGCGCCATCTGGCCCTCGCTGTCTGTGTGGCCAGAAAACGTCATCTGGTGTCTCCAATGGGAAGAAACGTCTGACTTTATCTCAGAAATTGTCCTCTTGTGAATTCTCCTGCGAGGTCTGCGAGACTTCAGTCAACTAAGAACCCAATTTGTGATTGCTACCAATTAGCACTGTACCCAGACATCACCTTTATTGTGCGTCTCGGCTCAACCCCATCCCTGTGACCCACCGTAAAGTCAATGGGAAGGTTAACTGTTTAGATTTAAAAATACACTAAAAGCCCCGATATATTTTCATTCACTTATTATGAACATATGTAGTAGGGGAATACTATACCAACATGTAATGGGGTTAATGCTTCCATTATTGACCTTAATGCGGTTTCTTAGTGAATATGGAAGTTTGTTCTATTTTTGTGTGTAACTGTAAACCTCCATTTGTATGTGCTCAATCACGCGTATATAAATATTTATGTTTTTTTTCTGAAAAAGACGCACTATAAGACGACCCAGATCTTTTACACAAAGCAAGAAATGTTTTTTTATGAATTAGATTAAAAAACGTCTTCAGTCGTAGGGAAAGTAGTACCACTTGATCAAAATAGCAGGCGTTGTATTTTGATAAAAAGTAGTACCTCAGCGCGTTGAAATACATTAACATTAAAGGGCTTTATTTATATTAAAAAAAATTACATCCGTTTTGAGTAAATTATGAAGCCCGTATTGGAACATGGTGGCCTGGTTCAAGTGAGTGGGAGCGGTACTGATGCGGAAGAACGTGTTGATGAGAATTGGTCGATGATAAGTATCACGTATACAACAAACCGTTAACGGTGAAATTGCGTTTGTTAGAGTAGTGTTAGGAACATCTACATCTTCTAACGAACATAACCTGGTGACTACGGGTCTTTAATTCAGTCGATCATTTTTGGAGAAGAAAAATGTCGGATTCACGGGGTTTGTATTCTAGAAAGTTGTTTGGTTCCGTTATACTGGGGCTCTCCTTCAGATTGATGCTTATTTCGCTTCAACCCCATATATCGCAATCTAGATTAACACCTAAAACGGACTATGTGTAGTAAATTAGATTAAAATACTTTTAAACTGGCTTTCCTCCAGTTACACCTCGGTGTTGTGATCTTAATTAATAAAAGCGACGAAACCCTTTCCATGATCATAAGAAATCGCTGCTAAATGCATAGTTTGTATGATTCGGACCTTGTGAGTATGTATTTCTGAATCACTATCAAATAGTGATCACATCAGGTGTTCTCGAATAGGCGAGCTTATCCTGTCCCATCGTGGCATCTGTTACAAACACATGCAAAGGCAAGTTAATTCGTCAATTCGTTAATTTGGAAATGTCCTCCACATATCTATCATTAAACGTTCTGAAAGCCCTTCAATGTTGAAGCCCTGATCAAACAAAGTTTGAGCAAAAGCCGTAACACGCCATCAAACTTACGTAACACAGATAATCATCTGTTGATAGCTGATAGTTTCAACTAGCATCTTTAAATAAATTGATTTATTGCGACCACATCGGGATTCCTATACGGATCTCAGATTTGCTGTTACAAAACGCAAAGTTCTTAGAAGTGAAAACGAATTTTTTACAGTAGTTAAGCAGGGTAACACCATGGTCAATTTCTCCACATCTTGTTTCCCATCTCTGTATTCCCTCACACGTACGATACGAAAAAGCCCAAACACAAATAGGAAACACGCTCTCGTTAATATTGTGACGTCATCAACAGAGCTGAAAACCCCTCGATGAAAGATAGGCATTGTTTGGCGAAGCCTACAGACCTCTCTCACAACACAGGAAGGTAAACGCACTTAATTATTTTGGCGATGTGCGTATATACGTTTTGTATTTAGAAAACATAAATCAGATCTGTTCTTTGTAACTAGAAACTTCCTGAGGAAAAGCTCCAATGATGAACCTGTTTGTCGTTTGTGAAAATAACTTTTCGCCTTATATACGCAAAAAGATTATAATGTTATATAAAAGATATAACAGTGTAGGCACTTCATGTTCGTAAACCTCATAGCTGGACAAGTGGTGGACAGTGGTCAAGTGGAGTGTTTTCTTGTAAAGATATAATTTTTAGATCGCAAACAAATTTCTCCATCCCGAAACCGCCTGTCCATAGGCAAGGGTCTGGACGTTAAACCATGTGATACGGTGCCAGTGCTACTGCTACAAAAACTAATTCAATAATTTAATCAGTTAATGCTGTGAAAAAACCCACTCCAGTTCGCTGCTCAGAAGGAGAAAAAATTCAATGAAGTAAAACTCAATTTGGGAATTTTCTTTTGTACGCTTGATCTGGTTTAGTAGTACTTACTTTAAAAGTAATTGTTCCTTTGGTTAACACAGTCTCGAGGCGCTTGTGTAGATATATCCATGGCGGCACGACCTGGGGCTATAGCTCTTCTGGACAGTGTGTCACTGGACTCACAGGTAAGACTTAAAGTTTACAAGAAGCACATCAGGAATCCATTTCAGCAAGAAGGATCTGTTGACTGTATGAATGGTCTTGCGAACTACAAGCTATGCACTAAGTTTGGCGCGACTGGAGGATGCAGGGGTATTATGTCTACTGTCCCGAGACGGCCGGCCGCAGTCCTTGTGACGTCCCTCTGTGCCGCCCCTTGAAGCCGAGGCACCAACCTGCGAGGACGCATGCTAGCCACTACCATACTTTATCTGCCGGCTATCATTCAATTAGTCGCCGGGGATCGATACGAGTTGATAGCAGAACAATAAAGGGAGTTAAGCATCGCCATTGATCCTTCGGACTCTCCGGTATAGACAGATGATGTGGACGAACGAGCAGTGAGAGATGGAGGTCGGTTGGAGGGGGGGGGGGGGGGTGTGGATGGGTGGTGAGGAGGGTTGGGTAGGATGTAGGCAGGTATGAGGATGAGCCATTAAGTGGGTTTGGTTGGGAGGAAAAGTGGTAGGGGATTAATAGGCAGAAGGAGGGAGGGATGATATGAGGTTTATTCGGTGAAGGATGCTTGGATGGTGCAGGGTGGGAGAAGGGTGGAGGTAGCGAGAGGAGAATGTTTCTCTAAAGGAGGGTAGGATGGTACGGGGTGGACAGAAGGGTGGAGGAAGCGTAGGGGGCGATGGGGAGAAGGTTTCGTTGAAGGAGTGTGGGATGTAACGGGATGGGAGAAGGGTGGTGGAAGCGAGAGGAGAATGTTTCGTTGAAGGAGGTGGGATGAAGAGTGGAGGAAGCATGTGGAGAATGTTTCGGTGAAGGAGGGTTGGATGGTACGGGGTGAGAAGGATAGAGGAAGCGAGAGAAGAATGTTTCGCTGAAGGAGGTGGGAAGAAGAGTTGAGGAGGGGTGAGGAGAATGTTTCAGTGAAGGAGGTAGAGATGGTACGGTTGGAAGAAGGGTGGAGGAAGCGTGACGAGAATGTTTCGGTGAAGGAGGTAGAGATGGTACGGGATGGGAGAAGAGTGGAGGAGGCGAGGGGGAATGTTTCGTTGAAGGAGGGTGGGATGGTACGGGGTGGGAGAAGAGTGGAGAAAGCGACAGGAGAATGTTTCGGTGAAGGAGGTAGAGATGGTACGGTTGGAAGAAGGCCGGAGGAAGCGTGAGGAGAATGTTTCAGTGAAGGATGGTTGGATGGTAAGGGGTGGACAGAAGGATAGAGGAAGCGAGAAAAGAACGTTTCGCTGAAGGAGGTTGGAAGAAGAGTTGAGGAGGGATGAGGAGAATGTTTCAGTGAAGGAGGGTTGGATGGTACGGGATGGGAGAAGGGTGGAGGAAACGAGAGGGAAATTTTCGTTGAAGGAGGGTGGGATGGTACGGGATGGGAGAAGAGTGGAGGAAACGAGGGGAGAATGTTTCGTTGAAGGAGGGTTGGATGTAACGGGATGGGAGAAGGGTTGAGGAAGCGAGAGGAGATTGTTTCGTTGAAGGGGGTGGGATGGTACGGGGTGGGAGAAGGGTTGAGGAAGCGAGAGGAGAATGTTTCGTTGAAGGAGGTAGAGATGGTACGTACGGGATGGGAGAAGAGTGGAGAAAGCGAGGGGGAATGTTTCGGTGAAGGAAGTGGGATGGTACGGGGTGGGAGAAGAGTGGAGGAAACGAGAGGGTAATGTTTCGTTGAAGGAGGGTGGGATGGTACGGGTTGGGAGAAGAGTGGAGAAAGCGACAGGAGAATGTTTCGGTGAAGGAGGTAGAGATGGTACGGTTGGAAGAAGGCCGGAGGAAGCGTTAGGAGAATGTTTCAGTGAAGGATGGTTGGATGGTAAGGGGTGGACAGAAGGATAGAGGAAGCGAGAAAAGAACGTTTCGCTGAAGGAGGTTGGAAGAAGAGTTGAGGAGGGATGAGGAGAATGTTTCAGTGAAGGAGGGTTGGATGGTACGGGATGGGAGAAGGGTTGAGGAAGCGAGAGGAGAATGTTTCGTTGAAGGAGGTAGAGATGGTACGTACGGGGTGGGAGAAGAGTGGAGAAAGCGAGGGGGAATGTTTCGGTGAAGGAAGTGGGATGGTACGGGATGGGAGAAGGGTGGAAGAAGGAGGTGGGATGGTACGGGGTGGTAGAAGGGTAGAGGAAGCGAGAGGAGAATGCTTCGATAAAGGAGGGTTGGATGGTACGGGGTGGGAGAAGAGTGGAGGAAGCTTGCGGAGAATGTTTCGGTGAAGGAGGTGGGATGGTATGGGGTGGGAGAAGAGTGAAGGAAGCGAGAGGAGAATGTTTCGTTGAAGGAAGTGGGATGGTACGGGATGGGAGAAGGGTGGAGGAAGCGTGAGGAGAATGTTTCGCTGAAGAAGGTGGGATGGTACGGGATGGGAGAAGGGTGGAGGAAGCGATGGGGAGAATGTTTCGTTGAAGGAGGTAGAGATGGTACGTACGGGGTCGGAGAAGGGTGGAGGAAGCGAGAGGAGAATGTTTCGCTGAAGGAGGGTAGGATGGTAAGGGGTGGGAGAAGAATGGAGGAAGCGAGAGGAGAAGGTTTCGTTGAAGGAGGGTGGGATGGTACGGGGTGGGAGAAGGGTGGATGTAGCGAGAGGAGAAGGTTTCGTTGAAAGAGGGTGGGATGGTACGGGGTGGGAGAAGGATGGAGGAAACGAGAGGGTAATGTTTTAGTGAATGAGGGTGGGATGGTACGGGGGGGGAGAAGAGTGTAGGAAGCGTGCGGAGAATGTTTCAGTGAAGGAGGTAGAGATGGTACGGTTGGAAGAAGGGTGGAGGAAGCGTGACGAGAATGTTTCGGTGAAGGAGGTAGAGATGGTACGGGATGGGAGAAGAGTGGAGGAGGCGAGGGGGGATGTTTCGTTGAAGGAGGGTGGGATGGTACGGGATGGGAGAAGAGTGGAGGAGGCGAGGGGGAATGTTTCGTTGAAGGAGGTAGAGATGGTACGGGATGGGAGAAGAGTGGAGGAGGCGAGGGGGAATGTTTCGTTGAAGGAGGGTTGGATGGTACGGGGTGGGAGAAGAGTGGAGAAAGCGAGAGGAGAATGTTTCGTTGAAGGAGGGTTGGATGGTACGGGATGGGAGAAGGATGGACGAAGCGTGAGGAGAATGTTTCGTTGAAGGAGGGTGGGATTGTACGGTTGTTAGAAGAGCGGAGGAAGCGAGAGGAGAATGTTTCGGTGAAAGAGGGCGGGATTGTACGGTTGGGAGAAGGGTGGAGGAAGCGAGAGGAGAATGTTTCGGTTAAGAAGGAGGGTGGTATTGTACGGACTGGAGGAAGATTGGAGGAACGAAGGCAGGAAGTTTCAGTGGGGTGGATACCGATATTTATGAAGGCAACTAAACAGAGATGCATGCAGGTGAAGACCAAGTGGGTGATGGAGGTTTGGCGGGTGGGGCTGATTCAGAAGGATTATTCCCAACGACAAGAGGGTGCCCAGACTGAACAGAATAGATGAGGAAGGATAATGAGAGATGAACAGCGTTCAGATGAGTAGATAACGGTATATCACTAAAGTTAGGATGATAACAATCTATCTGGTTCGATTTTTCTATACATGTCTTATATGCAGATGTCATTCGCTCGGAGATTGATGCTGGGGTTGATACTATTACACAGGCTTGGAGCTACATATGCAGGAAGGCAGGTCCAAAGCTGTCTGTCAATGTCTAATAAAAGTGTATGATACCAACACTAATGCAGCTATTCCATTCAAGATTACCGTAACAGCCTTGCGGATTGGCTGTTTCATTTATCAAGCTTACAGCTTTGTGAGCTCAGATTATGATGGACTGGTTGTGATGACTTATTCATTCGTGTTTGCTCGTGTTATCCCGGAACAAGACGAATGTATACGGAAAGGCACGAGCGGTGACGATGCTCGACAACTCCCAAAGGTTCACATTTTTTAAGGAAATTACGCGCTGATTTATTTTCGTTGGAGGAATAACAGTGAATAATTCATTTCTTATCCCAGGCTTCATTGAACCGATTTAGTATCAAAATTAACCAGGCACAGATTGCTTTAAAAAATCTTTGCTGAAATAAGTGATGGTTCAATAGACATGATTAAATTTAACAACAGTTCTTTCAATTCTCAATTACATAAAAAATCAAACTCGGTGGATTATCAGTTTGCTCCTCAGTTTAGATGTACTATTATTGAGTGTGACGTTAAGCAGTAGAGAAATATATAATATAATTTGAGTAATACATATTCTAAATCATGTGCAAATCGAAAAACATTATAAATATTCTGTATACCTTGATCTGTTTAACAATAAACTGTTCTAGACGATTGTCTTTCCTTCGTCTGATACCATAGGAATACTGGTTTATCCTGACGTGTGAACATGATGCTCAAGAGCATATCAATAGACGAAAACAACTGGAATCCTGGTGTTTGAACATTAGTTACTACAGAACATATGCTATAGAGTAATACAACTGGACTCCTGGAGTGTGAACATTAGATATACAGAACATATGCTATAGAGTAATACAACTGGGCTCCTGGAGTGTGAACATTAGATATACAGAAGATATAAATTGAGGAATATAACTGTAATCCTGGCGTGTGAACATTTGATGCTTCAGAGAATATATTTTTGAGGAAAACAGCTGGAATCCTGGCGTATGGACATTTGATAATACAGAAGATATAAACGGAGGAATATAACTGGAATCCTGACTTGTGAACATTTGATGCTTCAGAGAATATAATATAGAGGAAAACAACTTGAATCCTTGCATGAGGACATTGGATAATACAGAAGATATAAATCGAGGGATATAACTGTAATCCTGGCGTGTGAACATTTGATTCTTCAGAGGGTATAACATAGAGGAAAACAGCTGGAATCCTTGCATGAGGACATTGGATAATACAAAAGAAATAAATGGAGAAATATAACTGACCCTGGCGTGTGAACATTTGATGCTTCAGAGAATATAATTTTGAGGAAAACAACTGGAATCCTTGCATGAGGACATTGGATAATACAGAAGAAATAAATGGAGGAATATAACTGTTATCCTGGCGTGTGAACATTTGATGCTTCAGAGAATATCATTTTGAGGAAAACAACTGGAATCCTTGCATGAGGACATTGGATAATACAGAAGAAATAAGTGGAGAAATATAACTGGAATCCTGGCGTGTGGACATCTGATGTTTCAGAGAATATAATATAGAGGAAAACAACTGGAATCCTGGCGTATGGACATTAGATACTGCGGTGAATATAATGCAGGGGAATACAGAGAATATTACACAGAGGAAACCGCCCGGAATCCTCGAGTCAGTAAGTGAAGCTGCACGCTTCATTTAGTTGGTTGGTTGGTTTGTTGTTTAACGCCGCACTCAGCAATATTCAACCTATATGACGGCGGTCTTTAAATAATCGAGTCTAGAACCGACAATCCAGTGATTGATATCATGAGCATCGATCCACGCAATTGGGATCGATGACATGCATCAACCAAGTCACCGAGCCTGACCACCCGATCCCGTTAGTCGCCTTTCACGACAAGCATAGTTACCTTACACGGCAAGCATGGGTTGCTGAAGACCTATTCTACCCCGGATTCTTCACGGGTCCGCTGCATTCAGGACATGTCCAGCACTAGTGTGACCGTGGGTATTAGTCGACTGTACCACACATCGTTACATTTGTACATCAAGCCTTAATTAATCGGTACCTAGATTATGAAAAGGCTGCTGCTTTGCGTTTCCTTCAGACCTTCACTTCATTTGAAACACCAGAATTACACACTTGCCGTCGGCAAACATCCGTCAATCGTTATTACCAGTATTGTAACCCTTAACAAAGGTACGTCAGGCGTGCTTCTGCCACACGCCGTTTCCACAGAAAACACCACACTGTAGCAACATAAGGTTTAGTTTACTGAGATATTAATAATGCATGGTAATAAAACAATTATTTGGCAATATTTATCGTGTTATGAGAGTTGTTAATCGACTAAAGAACGCACGTCACTGACTTTAACTCAAACAGTTGTGAGGAAACTGGCACCTCATTGTAAGCTTTACGAGGAAATGCGTGTAAACAGTAGGGTATCGTATCTCTTCGCAGCCATTGATTTGTGAAATATTACCCAGATTGGATGAAGTTGTAGTTTGGGTATTCCTCTGGGGTTGAAAGAAAGACATGTTCGAACTGTAGAAGGTTCAGGTTTTAAACACATGCAGTTGGTGGTAACACATTTAATATCATTCATTGTACGTTATTGATATGACACAGAGAAACGTATCAGGCTGGTTTGTCGTGATTGCGCAGTCGTGTTCATTGACTACGGGACCATAGCTTTTAATTATATCCTCAATAGAGGTAAGCTTGGAAATCATTTTTTCATCGGATCTTTTTTTATCGAGTCTCGTGATAAAAGGACAGTATGTTAATATTTCCTACTGGCAATGGGTCCATTCTAACACTTGGGAGGGTGTTGCTGCAGCTTGCTCTATTACGCCATACGGCTCCTCTGTAAATCTAGGCTAATACAACCTGTAGATGGTTTCCACGCACTTGACTAGTAAATGCTAGTTATAATAATAATAATCATCATCATCATCATCATCATTATATTCATCATCATCGTCATCATCATCATCATTATCATCATCATCATCATCATCTTACAACAGGATATAATAACAGAAAAGCTTATGATTCTGTACCTCACGAATGGATTTTGAAGTCACTGGAATGTTATAACCTCCCCGAGCGACTTCTTGTTTTACTCAAGTATTTAATGGATTGCTGGTCAACTCAACTTGAGATGTACTCGCATGAACAGGTGGTGACTTCCGAACCCATTTCTATTAGAAGAGGAATAGGGGGCACAGGTGGCCAAGTCGTGCCGCGATTCGCTGTGCAGAGTTGCGTCCAGAAACCTATGATTGTGGGTTCGAATCCCGGTTCGCCCCGATTATGTTTCTAGGTTTGTCAGCACCATACCCGTGCTCGTGGGTTTCACCGAAGTGGTAAACGTCTGAGACCTGCATCACTTCGGGCTCTCCTCCAACATTAAGCTGACACGCCGCGATATGACTGGAATACTGTTAAAAACGGATGTCCTCAGCACAGATCCCCAACACCCCTTACTCACCTCCTTTACATGGATGACCTTGAAGTTATTGCTAATGGAGGATCTACTCTAAAAAGCATATTCCTTTCCTAATGGTATGTCCTTTGGACTCGACAAATGCAACATTCTTCATCTGAATGTAGAAGAGGGGGGATCAGTCAGTTAATTTGGGGTAGGAGTTATTGACCATCTCGTGGAAAGTCAGACTTATTCGTACTTAGGGATGCAGGTTAGTGACAAACTCCAGAATGCCCATATCAAGGAAAAACAAAGGCAAAGTACAAATGTAGACTTAAGAAATTCAGTTCAGAGCTGAATGCTCGCAATAAAGTCAAAGCCACAAATACGTATGCTGTACCCGTCCTTTCATACTCCGTTAGTGTTGTTGATTGAACGAAACAAGAAAATCAAAGTATTGACACCCTAACACGAAGAATCATGTCAGACAATAGATCCCACCACCCTCGCTCATTCCTCAATAGCTTATATCTAGCAATTATAATCGGAGGGTGTGGTTTGATTAACATGGAGGCTCTTCATGGTAGAAATGTTTTATGCAGTTTTGCACACATTTTTTGTCTGATGATCGTCTTGAGAAGCATGTCATGATTCACGATGAAAACGAGGTACATGTATTCCACAGTTTTCTAAACGAGACATGGGACATACACTCAATGTCCGTGTTGTTTTTGTTGATGGTTCTCTACTGCTGAAATGAGTGTCAACCAAGCGAAGTGGCATATCAATCGGCCCAGACTCAGTTTTTCAAGGAGAGGCAACGCGTTGATGCGCAGTGTGTTGAGAAGATCAGCAACCCAGCAGAGTCCTTCGCTTGGATGAAGTCAGCTGGCCTGAAAAGTCAAACAGAAGGCTTTCTGCTTGCTGCTCAGGACCAGTCACTTATCACTGATTTTGCATTAAAATGTTAAATATGAAATGTAATGCAAT